GGTTTGGTGTTTGATAATTTTGATTTTGCTCTACTGTAAAACACAAAACTCCTCCCTCATCCTGCAGTCTTTATTTTGCCCTCTGTGCAACCTGCTTTTAAGAGATTAGGGCTCTGTACTTTTAATATATTGGAATCTGCTTAGTGAGAGTGCTTTGTTTTGGAAAATAATTGAAACTATGGCAACCCTTTCGGTTTTTTCCAGCTTATTTGTCTACCTCATGTACTTCTCCGTTTTGGTGGATGATTAGCATACTGGAAACCACTGGTAGCTGCTGATGTTATACAAACAGCAAAATAAGTTCTGTAAATAYTAAATCCAGGACTGGTTATTTGTGTGTTGGAAATCATTGAACATGAACTGAATGTCACTATAAAAATGAGAGTTTAAGGCCTCTTCTCTGTCTGAGTGGCCTGAGTCTACAAAAACTGTAAGTGCAGAGCAAATGGTTTTGGCACAGGAGCACTAATTCTGATCAGTGCTTGCCTGCTGTGTGTTCACCCTGATTTCCATCAGGTTCTCTAGAGCACTTGTTTTATGTTTGTTTATGTTCAAACTTGTTAGCCACACGCAGACATCGGTTTACATAAATTGAATTTCTGTTTCCATTGAATATGGTTTCTCTTTCCCAGCTTTCAGTCTCTTGCACAGGGGATTGTAGCCTTTATTTTTTTATTTTCCTTTTACACTTCTGTGTTCAGTTGCTGCTGTGATTAGAAAATGGGTCATCCTTGGATGAACTCTTATGAACTGCCTCTTCCAGAGAGAGCTTGCTTGCCTGGGAAATTCTTGTAGTGGGAGCCATCTTAAAATCTTCCTGACASCTACTGGTGACCTTGTTTCGTAATTACTTGTGTTTCTGTCTAGCTCTTCTAAAGTGTTGCTTCTCCATGTATGAAAAAGCTTTTAAAACACATTATAATTTAAGATTTCAAGTCTCTGGCTTCTTTCCAAATAAAACCTTGATGTCTCAACAGTTAAAACTGAGAAGCTCTGTTGCATGGTCTGTCTGGCATTTGCACTGATAAGTGGGGCAGACATGCCTGGCAGTCAGCCCAGGGGCTTCAGCCCCCCAGAGCCCCCCCAGGCAGGGTTGTGCAGCTGAAAGTTTTGCTGCCTGTGCAGCCCCTGAAATGGGAGGGGATTCTTCTTCCTTCCCCTCCTCTTCCTCCTTTCTCAGTTAAATATGTATACTGATGAAGTCTTGCCTTTGTTCTCTCTCTTCTTATGGATATTCTTTCTCTTTCTGTGTTAGTCTAAGGACTTCTCTGAAACTGGGTATGAAATGAAAAAAAAGCCAAATTATAGCTRTTCTCTTACTAAAAATATTATTGTAAACTTACGGTTTATTATTTGTGAGGATGTTGACTGTGCCCTGTRGTTGTGATACTAAAACAAAATTCCTCTTCCCTAGACCTGTGAGATTTATTAGAGGTTTGTAATTTGTTTCTCATAGGTTCCTGTAATCCTGTTTTTCCTCCAGTGCTGGCTTTTTATGGCATATTTCTTTCTGATTGTGTGTATGTTGCACATGCACGACCACCCAAGCATTTTGCTGCTTGTCTGGTCYTGTTGAGGTTGCATCCAGCACATCCCCCAGTCTCTGCAGTCTGTGTGACAGAGTTTGTGCTTTATCATTGACAGAGTGCAGTGGATTGTCACTGTAAAGTATCTTCTTAAGGCTGCCTTTTWTTTCAGATGCCATAATATTTTTCTTTTTTWTTCAAGAAAATTATTTTCTGACCGGCTGAGAGACACAGTCATTCCCAATGCAAGATAGTTTTGGAAAGGTCTGTTTGTCCTCAGGCTCTGCTTTGGGGCCAGCCCACCATTCTATGTAAGAATTAATGCATGATGCTTCAGTGCTTGCAAGTCGTGACTGGGAATGCTGGATCTCAGCTTTTAATGTGCTACACTTGCATGTTGTGCAATCCCATAGGAAGCTGAGGTGCTGCTTTTAATCTTTAAATGATTTGGGTCCTGGTCTCTTGAGATGAGTAGAGGACAARGATGTAGGGACTGTTGGCTGGCAGAGTGTTCTCTGAGGAGCTTGCCAATATAGGGACATTTTCTGTCACARTCTGCACTTGTCAGGCTTTGCCACTGCCTACAACACCTACTACCTTGCTTTTTTTGTTTCGGGTTGAGTGGGTAGAAGGCAGAGCGTTGTGAGCAGTTGCTGTCTGTATTCCTGCAGTGATGTGTAATTTGAGAGTACAGGGACAATGCCCCTAGATGTATTTTATAAAACTGGAGGAAATAAATGATTGCAGACACAGGTGAGGAGAGGTCACTGAACGCTTATTAAATGACTCAGAATCCATTGGGTGCTTCTGAGGGCAGTGTGAGTGAGAGTCTAAAGAGTGTTGATGCTGAATTTTGACACAAATAAGTCTGGACTCTTATATTATCTTCTACAGCTCCTGGTTCTGCACCTTACCAAAGGGGAAAAAGTAAACCTTATCCAGTGCAAAGTAAGAATTATGGTCTATAATTGTAGATAGCCAAGGGCACTCCAGAGACTGATCATAAACCAACTGTAATTCTTAATTTCCTGACCTGTTAGAGCTTTCTTTGTGGATTATTTCATTGGTAGCTTGACCATTTTGTGACACTTAAAAGGCTCCTGTAAGGAATGGGGATTTGTGACTGACATTTAGGGATGGTCTTTTTACAACCTGTAAACCCTTTTGTTCTTTTTGCAGAAATTGAAGGGTAAATAATGAAGTTTGGATTGTATTGTTCATGCAGTTTGTGTTTACATATAAACAGATGAGACATTAAGTCTTTATTGCTGGTAGGTCAAATATAACATGTTATTGTAACAGACAGCCTAAGGCAAGATAGCYGAAACCAGAATTAAGGGAAAGGAAGAAATTTRAACTGAAGTAGTATGAGTATTTTGATTTAGAAACATCTGACRAAGGAGTGTGAGGTTTCAAATTTTCAGATTTAGAATTTTACTAAACTGCTAAGATCATTCATCATGCTTAGGATAATGATGATCTGCTCATGTATTTTTATTAACCTCTAGAATAGGTGCTGAATAGTGTCTTTCTTGCTGTGTTGTTAAATGTTCAGAACCAGATCATTAAGTGTCTCAGAAAGCAGTCAATTTTATGGTCCGAAAAGCTAATACACTAGTAAAAGATGATATACCTTAAAGTATATTTAAATATTTGTTGTGGAGCAGCATTCTTCTTTCTTTTGTTTCTTTTTTCATGCATTCCAGAAGTGTGTAAACTTGTAAGAAATTTAGTTTGAAATACCTAGTTTTACAGAAATACTGGATCTCTGCAATATTTAGGAAAAAAAGTAGCCCTAATGTGGTGTTGTGGGTGAACCTAGCAGGCAGCTCAAACACCCCACAAGTGCTTSCTCATTCCTTGAAGTGGGATGGGGATAGAATCAGGAAAAAGGCAGTTTAATAATTATAATGAAAACCTATGTGTTATCAACATTATTTTCAGCATAAATTCAAAGCATTGTYTCATACCAGCTACTATGAAGAAAATTTTCTCTATCCCAGCCAAAACCAGCATGTGAAGTAAGCAAAGAATACAGTTATTTTTATATTAAAGTCTGCCTCTGCTGCCTTTTGTCTGACTGTATCTGCTCCTTCCATTTTGTGGCAGTTGCTGGAAGAAATACATTGAAGTGGCAGGTTGTCACATGGAACAAAATCAAGGCATGTCTTGCTAGTCCAGTAGTGTGGGTGTGATTTATATGCCTACAYTGTTATTACTTGAGCTTGTTTGTACTTTGCAAATACATGAAGCAGGGTGCATTGCATCTCAGAGTAAAATGTTAGTGCTTGTGCATGKCTGGATGTGTTCCAGTAGAATTTGGTCAGCCAGATTCTAAAAGATACATCCCCTGATTTGTATTAGTTTAGCTGCTGGTATGTTCCCTGGAACCTTACTGGGGAAAAGGCATGTAGAAAGCTTTGATTTTTCTCTCCTAGGCTTTATTTGAAGCCTCTGGACTTACCATAGGGAAGCTGAGGGAAATGGAAAGGAACAGGATAGGCAGTGGGTCAAACCCCAGATTTTTAATACCTGATGTTATCCTTAAACTTGACCCAAGCTCATRTTACAGAGTGAGCCTTTGAGTGTTGACAGCCTTGTGACCAGACATGGAGCAGCTGGTTCACAGGAAGCCTCTGTCAGATTCTGCAGGTTCTGCTGTATGCCCAGAGCATGGCAGTTCTTGAAGTGAAGATGTGGAAAAGAGGGCACCGTTTGAAATGCAAAAGGACAAGAACGGCTGTCCTGGGGTCAGGTTGATTCCTTCTTGCAAATTACAAACGCGTACACTGAAGAATTTTTTAGAGAAGAACCCTGAAAAACACTGAAACGAATATTCAGAGAACCCACGATGAGCAGAGATGTTACTGTGTGACCTTGAACTCCTTTTTCTGGTCCCAAGGTCCTTTCCAGATTCCAGGAGTTCAAAACTGCAGCTTCAGGCTATTGCATATTCCTSCATTTCATGGCAGAACCATTGTAATGCTTTGTCTTGGCAGTGGGTGTTTTGCTTTCACAATTGAAGGTCTTTGTGCCTTTTTTTTTTTAATGTGCAAARGAACAGAAAAAATGTCTGTGAAAGGTACTTTATGTGCCTTGCTTCAACCATGACATATGACACCCCACAGAGACTTTGATGTTACTACCCTATTATTTTCTTCATGGTATTGATGTATTTATAGTAAAAATTAGATTCCATGTGGTTTCTTCCTTGGGTTTCTGAAACTGAAATCACAGGCTCATGTAATACAGGATTTACTTTTTGATTCCATATCTTTTTTGACTTTTGCTTACCCAAAGTTTCTGGATTGACCATTAGGCAGTGTTYTTCCTGTTCTGATTTGAAGTAAGTGGTAGTTGCAGTCTTTATTATGAAAAAAATAAATTAAATTAAGTGTTTTTTTTAAATCTCAGAAAAATCAAAAGCAGCAGTCTTGAACACCTGACTCATTAATCTTTCTTATTCCTTCCCAGAAGTACACTGCCATTGGAATGCTGGGCAAGGCTACTGATACATTAGATGCTACAGGAAAAGTAACTGAAGAAAAACCTTATGGTAAGCATAAATGTATCTATGCACTTGATGCAATTTGAAGACATAAGTGGTCTCTGTCATAGGAAAGCGGAAGAGATGTTTGGGACTCTGAATTAAGTTTAAATGTGAAATTAAACTAAGATTATTTCATCTTCAACTTCAGTGCTCCTGTAATTCAAACCAGCTTCATGCAATTATGTCCAAGGCAAGTGTTCATTTCTGCTGGAAAAAAACAAACCAGGCATTAGATTAGGAAGGAGGAAATAGAATTGGCAGGACTGTGTCATGTTAAATCTGTGACAGGCTGAGAAATGATGTGCTGTGTCCAGTAACATTTTCCTCTCTCAGAGTATAGTCCCAGGAGTCCTTTCTCAGTAAAACCCTTCAAAGCCAGCGGGGAAATAAAGTACTTCTATCTTCTCTCTAGRTCACCACTTTACCTACAGATTGCTTAACATTTAATGAGGAGGGCATAAACTGCGTTCTACACATGGTCAYCTACCAAATCTTGGTCTTGCTTTAATCTTTAATAATGAAATTTTCTGATCCGCAGAGCACAGTGCAAGGGTGTAAGGCTTCAGAACTCATCCTGACTGTGGCTTTGCTGAGCATCTTAAAAACAATGTAGAACTGAATAGGACGCAGTAAATACATTTGTTGTTAGTTCTTTCACAACCTTGGAGGGAAAAGAAATTAAAAATAATAACTAACCAGTTGCTTAGCAACCCTACAGGTCTTACATTCTTTGCGGTACCTGGTAATAGGTACATGAAGTAAATAATCATTTTTTTTTAATAGCATGATGAAAAACCTGGGTTTCACCTCTCATTCGCAATCTCCTTTCTTTTGCCATTTTTCCTTTTGCAAGAGGCAGGCAAGCATGAGTTTCTTGTCCACATTAACCTGATGGGTCATTCTAAAAAGCATTATTTATTAGGCACTATTATTCAGAGATGTTGCATCAGTTATTTATGCTTCAGGATCAAGTTTGAAGTCTCTGTCTAAGCTTCTGGAGGATAGAGCACCCACATGGTGTTAGAGTTGCCAGTACTTCATGGTGGTTGGGGAGAACACTTTTTTGATTTTTATRTGTACCTGGCAAGGTGGAATTTTGTGGTTATGCTGCACTAAGACATATTCAGAGATACTTGCTCACATATATGATGTGAAATACTATTTCAAATAGATGCAGCTTCCATGGTCGTTAAATTWAAAAAAAAAATCAAAATCTATTTTTCAAAATGCTGTTTTTGTTTTTTTTTCATTTTGTATTGTTTACTGCAGGCAGAATTTAGAGAGTTGTTTTTGTGTGTGTTTCTCCCTGGCAGCTCTTTTTACAGTAGTTCCCACCTCCTGTTATGGTGGTTTGCCTTTCTCTTAGACTGTGTGCTTGGGAATTTATTTGGCTTAAAAATAGCCCCTTTTTTGACTTGCTTGTCATTTTAAACTGAGATCATGATCCAGTTCATCACATGGCCTCATGAAGAGCAGCATTGGCATTGCTGGGGCAGTGTAGTTTTGGGTGCAGTTTCYTTTTGCTGAAAGTGACGGCTGAAAGAAATGCTTGTGACATTGGTCTCAGTTGCTTTCAATGTTGGTGCAAATCAGTCAGATGTGATTTCTTCAGAAAAAAGAGAGAATGTGGATACTCCTTTTTTTGTTCCACATATAGCTACAAGTTTTGTATTTCTCATCTTTTCCAGTGTCTTCTCCAAAGCAGCTTGGTTTTCTGCTGCGTACTCTCTTTGGCCCATCATCCCTAATTTCTAACCCTAATAGGTACTCCAGGAAAAGACAAAGCAGATATCTGAGCTGAATTTCAGTTTTGACACCTACAAGGATCCTTGGAGAAGCAAAGCATCTGAAAGGGAATATAAATCCTACATTGCCAGCGTCATCCAGGATTGGGCCTTAGTGCAGACAAAGGGCACCAAACCAGTTTGCAAAAYGTATAGAATCTTCTGGAATGACTTCACTGGATCATAAGGAAAGCACTTTCATGCAGGAAAGTGCCTGCAGAAAGTTGCCAGCTATATTAACTCTAAGAAAGTGTTACATTTTAGTCCTTGAAGTATCCCTAGACAGCAACTGAGGAAGCAAACTGTACAGTTAGTCACAATGGCAGRGTGTACTGAAGAGAGCTCCTTGCTTTTAACCCCTTCTGAACTTCTCATCGCTTTTTGTTTCTTACCAGACAACRAGTTTATATGTCTTGTGAAATCAGGTTATGGTTTCATATTGCTGCCAGGCTATCAGATGCTGCCTTTGGAAGCAAGTAGCATTTAGTATTCCTCTGATGCRTTTTTGAGCACATTAATGTTTGTGTCCCTTTTTTAATATTTGTAAGTGTGTACAGAAATGTACATTTTGAAACTCACTTCCTCCCAGCTGCCTACAGGCTATATCCAGACACAAAGAGAACAAAATTAATGAAGCTCTTCTCAGGTCTCTGCTGATTATGCTGAAATATATGTTTAATAGAGCTACCTGAATAATTTGGAAAGTGTACTCCTTTCAGGATTCTGCTTGTCTGTTTTCAAATAATTTGTGCTGGGCTAGACTGAATTGAGATCATCTCCTGAACTTCTGTTACACTGTCATGGATAATTCTTGTATTCTCTTTTGGAGTAGTTTGTAATAACCACAGGGCAGAATCACCCTTCAGTGGAGGCTTTATGAGATTGTGGCACAGTTTTCAC